CTGTGTTGTATTATGTCATGAGTATAATTATAATAATACCTCAGTACTATAGTATCAATTTTTCATTGGACCTTGGCATCACTCTATACCCAGCTCCGCCACTGATCAAGAATAAGCTTCTTTGGGCATAATTTAGACCTGGCAGTCAGAAAAGGTCTTAGTAGCCCAATTGTACAATGTGCACTAGCTAGGTGTTGCCCTGTTGGTGCTGTCTTTTATCCTAGCTGGAAGAAGCATGACTTAAAGGAGAAGCAGCAGCTTCCTGAACAGAAGGTAAAAGCAATGTCAGCACAAGGTGGGGATCACTACATGAGACGACTGATGATGTCATTGAGCAACAGCAAGCCATTGGTGCCGTAATAGCAGAAGACAGGAAGTACTGGCATGCTATGCCAACTGATGATGAACTAAATGTGCTAAAGAAGTTATTAGAAGTTCTTAAAAATGTTTACTATTTAACAAATACATTGGCCGGTGAAAAAGAAGTAACTTTATCATCATTATGTTGCATACAAGCACATTTTAAGAGTAAATTGAGTCCCTACAGTAAAGATAATCATATTGCTTGTACCATGAAACATGCAATGATGGCAGATTTGAGTTCTTGAAACAGTTCTCTAAGGTTCACTGAAATTTTGGATATTTGTTCATTTCTTGACCCATGGTTCAAGATTAGGTATATATATACATGTAGTCAGTTTCACTTGAGTTTGACCACAGCCTCACCCTTATAACTTCTCTATATTTTATGCTAGCACCTTTAAAGTTACTATAGTTGCAAAATGGGTTCTTGTAAAAATTTGTACTAATTTTGAGGTCTCTAAATACATTGAAAGTTCTAAAAGGTTTCCAGTCAACATGAAAGGGAGCAGCCATAATGGTTCATGATGTGTAGCTTTGTGAATATCATTTGCATCTCATTAAATTTGTCAATAATCATGTTTTTATTATATAAAAATCAAATAAAACAAAAGGAACACTCCAGGCCTAGATATAATTGAATTAGAAGACTTTGCACTCCAGAAAGAAGTCTCCCTTAGTCAGCTGTGCCTCTCTAAGCCTTCTTTATATTTCGTCACTATTGTCGCTCAAAAACTCTATTGAAATTGTGCATATGTTGCTTATTTCTTTGGGTAGGAGCAAGCACAAAGATTTTCATGTCAATTACTGGGTTAAATAGGAAAATAAACAAGTTACAACAAGAAGAAAGGAGCATGATGTAGTTTTCAGCCATTTTATTTTTGTGTGAGTGGGACCAGATATGACGTTTTTGCTGATAAAAACAACTGGTCAAATTCAACTGAAACCTAATAACATACTTTGCTTTTTTCGTACAAAAATTTTGTTTCAGAAAAATTCTAGTTGAAATTTTTTTTCTTTTCATAGTGTACATGAATTTTTGCAGGATAAAAATTGGGCTTATCTTGCATATACCTTGCCCTTTACCTATTGGTATTAAGGCTGCTATTGTAGTATTTATATTTCTTAAGATATGAGCTTCTTGACCTGGCTGTTTCCCGACATTAGTACTAGAGATGCAAGTAATGACCAATTTACAGACAATAGATGGAAACATTAAATGGTTACTTTTGTCACATGGTGGACCATTTTATTTTATAACTCAATAATGAAGTGACAGATTGATGTACAGCAAGCGCTAATGGATAGAGCAAGGTTAGAGCTGCAAGATGATACCTACTCATCTGGCCATACCGTAGTCTTTCTTTGATTAGTTATGTCCCAAATTTTGGTTGCTCAAAAATTTTTGATTGAAATATTTTCATCATTAATTTAAGACCATACAAAAATATTTTAACAACGTAAAAGAGGCAAGTTACGGTACATCTAGAAAACAAAGTAGTAAATATTGTACATGTATGTTGACCTTAAAATTGGATAATGGTCTTGAACATGATGACCTAGACCAAACTGAGCAGAAGACAGGATCTAATATCAAGGTAAATGATGTGTCTGGTGACTCTGGTCCTCTGGTCTGGTGACTCTGGTGACTCTGGTCAAAGAAGCCCAAAGGCCTTACAGCTATCTTAAGAAATATGGAGAAAGAGGAAGGTAACACACATCTTATACCTATGACACATGAGCAGCAGATTGAAGGTGAAATATCTTCATACCTTCACTTTCTAACTGCTGAGATTGAAACCAATACTTTAGTTTGGTGGAAAGCAGAGTACAGACGGTTTCCTACATTGTCTTAACTAGCTAAGAAATACTTGTGTCTTCCTGCTACTAGTGTGCCATCTGAGTGAATCTTCATTACCAGTGGATGTACATATAGTGAGCTCACTTTGTGGCCGATTATTTTTAAATAATGTGAACAAATTAATTTTTGTCTGAATCTTGTAATGCATGTACGGTGTAGCATGCTTATGTATTATTTCATGATGATAATCATGATGATCATGATTAATTTTATTATGATAACCATTAGTTTAATTTTAAAATTCAGCCGACTCTTCAGTACATATGAACATGTACATTAGCACTTAAATACCTGTGTAGATGCTCATTAGCTGACAAAAAGCAATGGTTTTAGGGTGGCTTGGCTGCCCAACTGTAAATGCGTCATACAATTATCCAGGGCAGGCATTGAAAATAGATTCAAACCTTTTAAGAAACATTCGAATGTAATGAAGCTTCTTAAACGATGTGGTTATCCATTAATAACTGTTGCAATGGAATTGGGTGCGGATATCTTAAATTTATTTAATCTTGTTTAAAAAATCATTTTTATGAAAAACTTATTGCTATTAAAAATTACAAGAAATCAAAGTAAATTGTAGTTTTGTTGTTAAGTAATACTAATGTATCCAGATGACTTGGCTTTAGTGACGAATGAAATTAGCAGTCAAACCAGCAGTAAAGAATATTCGTTCAGAAGCTGCTGCAGTAGCTGGTGTCATCAATACAGACACAGACAAAAGAGGATAATGCACAGAGTTGTCTTTCCTCAACTTTAATATGTCTGATGCTCTAAGTATAACCATTTTATGAAAGAATTGTGTAATCCCCTCAACTTCTGTGCATCCAGAGGGGGTTGAAAGTTCAATACTTTCTCCTAACAAGAAATCTAGTGCTTTCTTCCTCTTCAAACTACATGTAGATTGGGAATCAGTATCTCTTCTCTCAATGAACCTATTCATCTCTCAATCAACTTGACTTTTATGGATTCTAATTTTTCTTTAGTGACAGACTTCCATAGTCTGAAATGAAGATCTAGTACTGTTGATAAAACTAGAGATCTGGAAATATCTAAATTGTCTAGTTTCTACATCACTGTAATTTCTTCTTTTAGTACTTTCTTAAACTGTGTAATGGCTGGCAATGTACTTTCTTCTCGTGAATTGATGTGCTGCAACAATTTAAACAATTGGTAGTGTACAAATTATGATGGATCTTTCTTCACCACAAAGTAGGTAGTAGCTACGTTGAAAGGTTCTAAAATTTTAGCAGTAAGATCTAGATTCCTATCACTGCGTTTTGTTATAGTTTCATCTGATAACACAGCTGTAACTGCCCACCTCATTTTGATTAGGCATTTAAGCATGTAAAAAGTAAAGTTCCACCTGGGCACAGTGTTGAATTACCTTATAACGCTTTATTTTGGTGATTTTAATGTGAAATTGTAATTGACGGGTTTTTAATTTGGCGATTTTTTGTGTACACGTGCATTACTGAGCATGTGCATTAATGATTGGCGGTTTTAATATTGGCGATTTTACTTGCAAACTGCCAATCGCCAAAATAAAACTCTGCCAATCACCAAAATAAAACTCTGCCAAATTAAAGCGCTATACGGTAATTTCTTTATAATGGTATTCATCTGTTCTTGTCGTTCACTTAGTGCATTAGTAGCAAGTGCGCTATGCTTAATTAAAGTGATCAACCAATTTGCTAAAACATCTTACCATCCTATTAATTACATCCACAGACAATCCCTTCTTTCAACACAACTGCGGTCTGTGGGTATTGCATGAAATGCTTTCAAAGTGTTCCTCATCTGCAGAGTCTCCAAGTATTCGAAGTGACAACAGCATTTGCTACTTTATTGTGTACTATTGTTGAGAATTTATTCCCAATATTGTACTCGGAACAAATTTTTGCAATAGCATCAGATATTGCTGCCAGAAAACTCTCTGGTGCCTGAAACAAATGATTATATTTCCCACAAAGCTATGATATAGGCATCATTAGCCTCACTTGTCCATATATCCGTTGTGAAAGAGAGTTAGTTCACTGATGAGAGTAAGGTAGTAAGTTTTTATTTACCTTCCTGGTGCTTTCTGATAACATTTAACTTAATAGACTGTCTATTTGTGACGGCAAAACCTGGTTCAAGACAATGAATAAATTCTCTAACACCTTCACTTTCGACTGTACTGATGGGACAAGTATCTCTAACAATCATATGGACTATTTTATCAGTTATTTCTTTTGAATATGCATTGGAGCATCATTTTGTCTTAAACATCCTGTCCATGGTTCTTCTATAGACGTAGAAGTACTTGAACAGGCCTGATACTTAACTGGATGAATATTGGTAAGGTGATGCGTAGATTTGATGTTCCACTGTGGTATGCGAGCTGCTTTCCACATATCTTGCACTGCACTTTCTACTCATCCGTCTTCTTGACAAAGTAGTTCCAAACATGTGCCACTTTCCTTTTCCCTTTAAGTGAAATGTCTCTTCCGATGGTGTAGTGCCACTTTCAGTGTCTCTCATCTTGCTCTTCTTCCATGTTTACTTAGATAAAAACGTGTAAATTAATTGATTTAAGTAAGCTCTGCCACAATTTGTGGGTGTATCATGATGGGCGTGGTCTTTCTTAGAAGTTTTGAATAGCAATAGTGGACATTTGAATTTGATTATACTAAATGTTGATTTTGGTTGTTCCTAATATACATGTAGTATTATTTAATTTACATTAATCATAATGTATTTCATATAGAATTTACCAAATTTTTTTCTTTCTTTCTTGTAGAACAATACAAGTCCAGGTACATTTATTATGAAGAACTGCATCATAGATGAATTATGAATGTATTTCATGTTATAAATTTTAGTTTGTCTCAAAGAAGAATTTAGCTGCCATGATGGAACATGTATTGCTGATTCATTAATTTGTAATGATATAGAAGACTGTGCCAACGGTTGGTTCTCCAATATTTTGTTAAATCATTTAGTTATTGATCTTTGCTTTTGTTTAAAGTTAAATTAATGAGTATTTTTGAAACTATAGGACTTGATGAAGTGTTATGTATTGAAAGGCCATTAACCGGGTGCCCACCTAATGAGAAATCATGTGGAACCACTCAAAATTGTTATCCACTGGGCAGAGGCTGTGATGGTATTAATGATTGTATCAATGGAGAGGATGAAGTAAATTGTGGTAAGTATACATGTAGTACTGTTTTATAATGGCAACAGTATAGGATAGATTATGGCATCACTATTAACTCCCAAATAACATTGACCTCATGTAGAGTAGTAGAGTACATTATTTGTACATGTACATCATATATGCAAATGTACTCATGTACATGTACAGTATGTAGCATGAGATTTTTGGATCATACATGTAGTTTTGTGAATCATTTTTTATAAATGGTTTTCTCTGACAGACCTTTTGTTTCGATTATGCATTTTTGAATTTTTTTTGTTACCCTTCCATGCATATGCATATGTGCAAGGGTATATGAGTTGATTTGTCTTTACCCTTGCCATGCATATGCGTATGGGCAAGGGTATATGAGTTGAGTTGTCTGTGTGTGTGTGTTAGCAAGAAGTCTAAATCAAGCTGCTTCTGCTCTCAGGATAAAATTTCCAGAGACTCAAAACTAGTTTTTGTAAATAGAAAAGATTGTTTTTTTGATTTCAAGAGCTTTTTACTCTTTTGTAAGGTGGAAAACCTGGCAAAATCGAAGCCAAGAGAGCTCAGCCTATCATTTTTTTGTTATGGCAGTGGTAGAATTTGTGGTAGCATCATAAGAAAGGTAATAGCATCATAAGAAAGGTAATAGCATCATAAGAAAGGTAATAGCATGAAACTTCAAACTTCTGTGGGGATTGTCTTATAATGTATTTCTCTTTCTTTGGTATGATATGACAGTGTAAAATTTTTACTATGTCAAATACGGCCTCTTGAATCTTAGTAGAGAAGGCAGCCAGTATCCTGAAACTGCCTTACAGTAAAAAATAAGTCTGCAAGCAACTTGTAGCAGCTACTAGATTTGTGCAAAAGGGCTTTTATGACTTAGAAAACCTGAAGCTTTTGAGGGCCTACATGTAACTGTGTTTGTGTAGTCATGTTGGCACTTGAGACAACACCTACACGTATACAATTAATTAGTTTAATACTAGCCACACCTGTCATCAATCATCAATAATACCATATAGCGGAAAATTTTTGTGGCCCAAAATTTTTGTTAATTTTGCGTTTTTTCAAAATCTACAAAAATAAAATCCCTGAAAATTAATTTAATACGGTTCAAGATGGCCGGAAAGTAGAAAACCATGAAAATTAAAGCCACAAAATTGATTATTGAACGAATTCGTGAAATTTTTGGGCCACAAAAATTTTCCACTATACTGTAAATCTATTGCTTGTGTGGCAAGGGTACACACTTTAAGTGCTTTTCATGTTATGTAATCATGTACATGTGTATGTGGGTATTGTATCTTTATTTATGCGTCATGCACTTTATTGATTTTGTAAGTTTGTTTCTTTGTAAACATGCAATTGTTTTGGTTAGTTTCAGTATGTTTCTTGGTTTTTTTGTAGCTCAAAGGTCCAACAGTCAATGCCTTGTATCACAATTTGAGTGCCCAGCTAATGCCAGCATTGGTGGTTCATCAGTATCTTTTTGTGTACCATTAAGAAAGGTGTGTGATTGTGAGTTTGACTGTCCTGATGGTGCTGATGAAGAAAACTGTGGTAAGTACAATGTAATGGATCGAAGGATAATCTAAATCTTTGTTTTGTAGCACCTTTTATTGTTACTATGCAACCAGACTTGACACTGACAGAGTTTGCTAATTCAACTGCTGTTCTGATGTGTCAAGCAGTAGGATATCCGACACCAGTCATAACATGGTTGAAAGACTTGAAGGACCTTGAAATTGACTCTAGATTTATTGTTGTGTCTGTGAATGGTAGTGGTATTTTGTACATTAGGAATGTATCTGTTTATGACGAAGGGGTTTATTCTTGTGTTATATCACAATCTAGTTTACGATCTACAATTGCTAATGTCAGTACAAATTTAACAGTCATTGATGGTAAGTTAATTTTGAAATTACCTGTACATGTGCTTTGCTTTCAGATTTCAATTTAGATGTATATGTACATGTAAATCTTTTTTCTCTCAATTTATAAGAAATAAACTTTTGCACAGTTATGCTGAGTTTACTTATATTTAGATTGTAGTTCATTTAGATGCAGCAATTTTAAATCTATATTTACATTTACATGTACATGTAGATCAATCCTACTTTTTGACACTTCCATATCACTAGCTAACTTGATTTCAATAGAAAAGCTTTACCTTAATTTTATTATCTATTTTTTCTATTTTTAGCTAATCGACAAAGTTGCAGAGACGTATTTAGTACTGTATATCAAAGTGGAGATATATACTATGACATTGAAACAATTATTGATCAAACTGTTGTTAACACTTCCGCTACTGATATTACATTTATCGTTGATGAATCTGGATCAATGGAACGTGCTCACATGTGGGTGAGAGAAATTGTACCTCTTTTAGAATCATCTATAAGAGGTCAAGGTGTTGGTATTAGTGATAAGCCTAACCAATATGCACTTGTTGGTTTTGGAAACCGTACTTCCTTGGGTGGTAGAGTATTAACCCAACTCACATCAGTAGATGGCTTTGTTAATGCTACTCGAATGTTTGAAACTGATGGTATATTTGAAGATGGTTACAGTGCTATTTTGTTTGCTTTGAATAATATTCCTAATCGTATGAATACAACTCGGCTATACATATTAGTTACTGATGAGGCTAGACAAGCGTTACCTAACTCTAATTTTACAAGACAACAAATTGAAAGGAGATTAATTGAGGAAAACATTGTACTAAATGTTGTTGTGTCACAACGCTTCATTTATAATACCAGTAATAATGAGTCAACTGCTTTTGGATTACATTTCAATGGAACAGCTTTTGCAGTTGATCCCCTTGCTTCACTTCAGTATAGGACATATAACAATGGTGTGATCCATCCAAATAGAAATCTGAGCTCAGGTTAGAATACAATATGAAGTGAGGTTGATTGAGTGAATCTTCCAAAACTATTGATTTAATTCTGTTATCAGTATTAATGTTATTTTAAAGCCATTATTGTGTCTTGTCAATAGGTACCACTTATGAAGACTATGTGCAGCTTGCATTTTTATTGCATGGGTCTGGATGGTCTATTCAAGTTTTGAATACCCTTTCTAATTTAACTCCATTCTCGAATGCTTTTATTCAGCTGAATGTAGATGAGATTGTGTTGCAAAGAAAATGCCTTGTGTGCACTTGTGGTCGTGGTTGCACAATTGCTGATGCAGTTTCGATTGATACTTGTGCTGGATTAGTGAGTGAGTTTATCAGTCCACACATGCACTTAATATGAGTTTGTTATTGTATTGCTTTTTTTATTGTAAAGACTAATTCATTTAGAATTTTGCTTCTTTTCCATTTCTTATGGCTGTTTTTATCACTTTTTAAATAATTTGTTTGTAACTGGCATTTACGCTACTGGTGGAAATTAAAATTTTGTAGTAATTATTTTTTTAGAAGTTACTGTTTGAAGTAATTTTTGTATTGCTAAGTACAGTAGCTGCATGTTAGTAGCTACCATCTATCTAGAAAAGGACATGTTTCCAAAAAATTATGCCTATGTTTGTTTTTGATTTTAATTTTGGGCAAGGAATTTTGTCATTAGTAATATAATGATTTCTTAAAATGTTGCATTTAGAATGCATTCCTTGTCTACCTCTGTGGTACGTAGGTTCTACATGTAGTTGACTTGACATAATTGTTTTGTGGGAAGTTTGTTATTTTGAAGGACACTTATGCCCTGTTTAGTAGTGTTTACACTAATCTACTGCACTGAATCAGGGTTGTTATTGCTACTATTCATTTCAGGTGTTTACACTAATCCAGAAGTTGCATTTTCATAAGATTTATCATTTGTTAAGAGAAATATTTACTTTGGTATTTGTTTACATTTTGCTTCAGATAGGTGATGCATTTTTTTGTATTAGTGTAAAGTGTAAACACAAGCTGTATCAGAATCAAAAAGTTTCGGTTTACATGTGAAAATGGATTTATTACACAAGAGAAAAATGCTATACAAAAATACTGCAAATGTTTAAGATTACTTTTTAATATTGCACGTATATGCTTTTTTTGCTGGTTCAAAATTTTTTCAAAAATTATTGCACTATTATTTAAATTTGCTTGAGGAGCAGTGATGATGTCATATTTATTATTTTTAGGAGCACTTACAACAAGGATTGTTCCATCAGTTGCATTGGTACAAAAGGGAAGTAGTATTACATTGACATGTGTTACTACTGTAAGGCCTTCATATCTTCCTGTTAACTGGACATTTATATCACAGTTTGGATCACTGTGTAATTCTGATCGAGTGAGGTGTAATGGTAATAAAGCTTTCATTGAAAACATTAGTGACGGAGATACTGGACCTTATAGCTGTAGAGGAAGGCATGATACCATTGTTAGTGATTTTACAGGGTTGAATATCCGGACAGTAGGTATGTTACAATGTACATGTGCATGTATTAACTTTGTTAAGTTCATATGCATGTATTATTGAAGGGGTTAAATAGTGACTTGACAATGTACAATGTACATGTACATGGATCTTTGTAATGATCTGGTGGTGACATCCACATGTGATGTTTGTATATAAATTGACATCCACATAGTGTTGAAAAAATAACAAAATAAGATGCCTTAGCAACCACCTGCACCCGCACCTGCTTTACATAAAGTGTGTGTGGCCACAGCAAACAAAATTATGACTTATACATGGGATTGAGCTCTCTAACAGCAATAGAACAAAAAATACTCTCTAAAGACTTCACTAGAAGCATTATAAGTAGAAGGAAACTCTGTAAGTCTTAATGAAACCCTAGCTATTCATGCAAAGTGGTCATCAGTTATTGTTAGTTTTTTTACACTTTTAAACTTGTTTTGTCTCTGAGTCTTGTGTGATTCTATTTGTGACTGTTGAATGATGTTAATTTCACTGGTGCAATATTTTTTTATCCTAGGCATTTATAAGATTGTTTTTACCTTTGTGTTATCTACATGGACATATGCATGTACATGTATGTCAACAATTTCATTTTTTGTGCTAGTATTGGGAAAATAAAAAATTAAGCCATAGCACCCAAATGTGTCAATGCCTTTATTGTGTTTGGTATGGCAGACAGTGTGGCATTATTCAACATTGAGCTCTCTTGCAGCAAGAGATATGCATGCATCCCATTATACTTAAACAGAAGTTCATGTATTAGAAGCTAGAGAGAAAATCTTCAAGACATATAGTTGTATGAAATAAGTGCTGTATGGTGGTAAGAGCAATTGATCTTGATTTTACACTTAAAGTTTTGTTGTATTTCAGTAATTCTATCCATGGGATTTTGTCATTCTTATGACAACATATGGCGTTGACTCTGTTTATGGATAGTATGGTAATTAATTTATGGGATAGGAAGTTAAAAGTTTTATGCCCTTATACACTAGAAATTATTTTGGCGTATCCGTTATAGATCCTGTTTCCTTTTCTGAAACTGGAATATCTTTTATAGTAATTGCATGTACATGTATTACTCAAGTAGTAAATTTCTATCATTGTCCTTTAAGATTCAATATTTTGCTTGTGCTCTTGCAGTATGTGTGAATGTGTAATTTATTTAGTAGATGTTTTTATTAAAATTATATGTACTTTTTCTTTACGCTGCAGTTTCTCCAGCTGTTAATATCTCACTTGTGCAAGGAATTTTTAAAGCTGATAAATTTTTCACATTGAGGTGTACTACTCAAGGTTCACCAATGGCTGTCACCAAGTGGAGAAAAATCACTGGTTCTCAAATTCAAGGAGATTTCCTGTTATCAAGTGATGTATGAATTATTATAGATAGTCAATTTTTGCCTTTCTCAATAAGTAGGGGTCTATAATATTAGATTTTTAGCAAGAAATAAGTGTTGTTTTTATGTACCCAACTAGAGTTAGTGATTACAATAATAATATTATTTTTATGATAGGTTAATGGTGCATCAACAATAACATTTAATAACATTCAAGCTGAGCATACGGGATTGTATGAATGTAGTGCAATCAATTGTGTTGGTGTCACAAGATCGACTTATAATGTTACTGGTAATGACATGCACAAAATGCTGTTCACCCTGTAGTAATCTCACACCCTAGTGGGCCCTCATGTACATTGTAAAATTAGGCAAATATTATGTCCTGGAAATTTCCATTATTATTTGAAACTTGCAACGTTTTCAATTTAGGAGTTATGCCTGTTTCTGCTATGCATGGCACTGATGCATTATCGGCCTCACCCATGCTTTGCATCAGCAAGAACTAGGTACTACTGTTGTCTATCTGCCATTGTGTGCTTTTTGTGTTTGATAATGTATATCTTTGCCATCACACCCTCTATTTTTATGAAGCCTCTCTTTTCATTGGAAAAAGTTTGCTTTACTATCTTGAGAGCAGTGCTAGATAGAAGAAGCTTCTGAACTTGCAAGAAATGCCCAGCAATAGTCGTAGTACTTTGCAGGTACATGTACTAGTAAAACTCTTTCTAGTAGACCAAAACTATTTATTTATTTAATATGCATGGGGTTTTAAAATCTTACTTTTTGGCAAGTTATTGCTACATGTACATGTATTTTGAAAACTGTCTATAGTTGTAGCAGCAGTTCACTAGTAAAGGTCCTAAACTCTATTGATCAAGTCTTGCAGCCTATTTAGGCAACAATATTTGTGCCATTATAATATCATATAGTGCTTAGAAGAAGAGGACATTTTAAAGCTTTTTTCTCACACGGTCTTGCTGCCTTTTTTACAATAATTATTGCAATGACATAATGTGAACTGAAGTAGCTGGAGCAGCTTTTGTGCAATATGCTACATCTGCAGGTATGCAAAAGCATAAGCAACTGCTGTTATCCATCTGGAGCGTGCTTTCTACTTTTATATGTGGCAAAGTTTTTAAATTTTGATAGTTAAACAGCTTTTGTGACAAGGCAACACACTGTAGGTGTCTTGTACTGAATGCTCTTGTTTGTGTGATAAAACTATGATACTTTTGTTCTTCATTGTTCTTTGTTAGTACAGTATGATACTAATAGTGAGAGCTGTCTTGTAATGCATGTATTGTATGATTGTTTGGCCATTATAATGTTTAGTCTTTGTCTGTAAAAAACTATCTGAAAATTATTCCAGGGCATTTGTCATTTGGTTGTGAGTAGAATACAATAATAGATTTATTATAACATTTAAGTTGTACTTTATATTTTTTGTTTTAACTTTCTTTCTAAGTATTTAAAAGTTTTGTAACTAATTTAAATAAATTTTAATTGCGATAGTTATAATTGATATGATGTGCTTAGGCTAAATGCCAAAAATTTTGCCATTGCAAGTTAATTTGCAACATCTGTATTAGGCTTCAAATTAATTGGTAAAAACGAAAAGGCTGTTTGTTATTCTAAACAGCATATATTCAGTTTTATGGTATCTTGTTCATTATTATTTCTATTATTTAATTTAGTTACTTATGACACATGCAATATACCTGATGGAGCAAGACTTAGTCCTGGAGAGCAAAAGTTAATTTTACATACCCCAGCCAGTGGAGCTGATATTATACTGTTAGTAGATGAATCTGGATCCATGAATGATGAGTACCAATGGATTGGTGCAATGGTAAAGGATCTTGATAGTATGTTAAAGAAACTCAATATTGGTGTAGCAGTTCCAAATTTGTTTTCCGTTGTGGGATTTGGATCTTCGTATTTAAATAATAGAGCGAGTAGAGTTTTGGAGTATAATGAAAAGATACTTGTTCCTGCGTCAAATGTAAGTGAGCTGATTAAAATGCTTTTTATTTCTGGAAGAAGTGAAGATGGATATGCTGCTCTCAAACATGCATTGGATGTTATACCATTTCGTAGTGGTAATGCAAAACAATTCATTTTGATTTCAGATGAAAGTAGAGAGCCCATTCAGTTGGCTCTTAACCAGTCATATCTTCTATCCCTTTTTGAGAGTGAAGATGTAATTCTTAATGTAGCAGTATCTCAATCCTTTCAAAATAATGCTGGCCAAAGAGCTTTTGGTATAGATAGCAGCAACAGGACCTTTGCTTATAGCCCATTTAATGTATTAAATGTTTATAGCAATGGAAAGTCAGTGAAGGATTCTGCTCATTGTAGTACAGACCTTGATTACACAGAGCTTGCATTGCTTTCTGGAGGAGCTGCGTGGGATCTTAACATACTAAGAAGTGGTGGAGATATAGCAAGACATTTTACTGATGCCTTTGTCTTAGTGAAAGCAAGAGAAATATATCATCAAATCTCTCGATGTATCAATTGTTCATGTGATGAATTCAAAGGGACAGAATGTGTTGATGTGCCTCTGAATAAATGCAACTTAAGTGGAGGTAAGTATTGTTTATACTTTGTATTACTATTTAAGAAAACATTGTGTGTAAAACACCTACACTTTCATTTCTGCATGAATGTGTTAGCCAATTAAGTAAATACTTGTATGATTCAATTTAAGCTTCTGTAAGTTCTCGGAGAATAGTTGCCTGCATTGTAATCAGCAGTTTTGTTTCTAAAGCCAGGCATACTATAGGCAACATGTTGCTGGCAACATTTGTGGTTAATTTGATCTTGTAAGCAACATATTGCCGGAAATAGAAGGCTGTTCTATTTGTGGCAACATGTTGCTTACGAGATCAATGACCACAAATGTTGTAAGCAACATGTTGCCTAGCGTAAGGGAGCCTTAAAGTCTTTGAAGAAGTTCATTTAACTTGCTAACCTGCCAGCACTTCCGAGATAAATGATATATATACACGTACATGTATACATATATAGACTGACCAGATTAGCAATCATCATTGAGCATTTTGTTCTGTTTTAAAGCATAGCCTTATCCTACATGTAGCTTGTGTTGTTTCACTTGCTCCTTTAAAACATTAAAGAGTTTGTACCTTAAGGTATGGATTTGTATTGATTTGACATTCATTACCTTTGAGAAACATGAATCTTTGACTTTTCATTAATTGTTAGTACATTATTTATGTCAATTAAGGTAAAGAAGCTATTCATTCCTAAGCAATTTTTAGGGTGCATGTACATTAATGTTAAGGTTAATAAGCATATTCATTCCTATATGCAATTTTTAGGCTACATGTGCATTAATTATTTCTTTCAACTTATGCTCTGAAATGAGATTGTTTTAAACTGTGTATCTTTTTTGATTTATTAATCATGTGAAGAAGTTATAAAGGGTTGCGTTGTTACATAATGCCATTATAATTTTTAACTGAATATTACTATAAATAAAAAAAAATATTGTAACGTAAGAGTCAATTATGCTTTTCAAATTTATGGAAATAAATGCTACATCAGATACAAAGTGTATCTGTTAATAATTAAAAGTTTTTGGTGATTTAATTTTTATTTGCAATGTAGGCAAACGTTATAACACCCCCACTAGGGATACAAATGTAATGTATCCCGCAGCGAGGGCTTATCAACATATTTGTGTGGTAATGAGTGGGTATATCTAAGGCGCATGCCAATGCGCATGATTAGTAGCACTACACCTCGTGGTAAAAATGAAAGCAATAGGGGACAAAAACCTGAGAAAAAGGTACTTTACCAACAGATTTAGGCTTTATGTTGACATTTTAAAATTATTTTCAGGCTATGTTATCTGGAAGAGTATAATCTAGGTCCAGAACAGAGATCCGGTGCTTGCTAACGGACCCGTGTATCGATATTACCTTCCTGGCCATCTTATTTAGCCATTGAGGTTAAGACAACCATTGATTTGAACATGGAAAAAGAGCAGTGAGCTCTACCTGCTTGAATTATTGGTCTGTGCCTCGATCTAAAGTTGTCTGGACTCTGGAGACTCCCCATTTTTCTGGCTTTGTACTTGTCGGTTCCCGCGGGCTCCCAGGCCAATGCCCAGACTTCAGTGGCAGTTGACTTTCAGCTTGTAAAGATGTCCATTATGTTGCCTTGTATAGTTTATTAAACTTTTTTTGTGAAAACCACAGGGATACAAGTAAAACCATAGGGATGCATCACGTTTGTAGCATAGGCAGTGCCTTTGATACGCCCACTCACTATTATACAATTTACTTGGTATCTTTGAGCACCTTTTTCATATTTGTGTTTTTTCCATCTATTTCAAATTCATATGTGTTGTCTACATTTGAAATATTTTTCATTTATTTGTCTTGTTGTGCTCATGAACATCAGGGAGCGCTTAGTATACTATGGTGCAATTTTTATTGGTATTATTGTTTGTACTTTTCTGTTAGGGTTCAATATTCCTGAAGTAAATGAAACTAATACTGATTTGACTGTGACAATTATTCCAGAAAGGCAGATGCATATTGAAGGCATTGGTGATGCGATGGTAGCATGTTTTGTTAATGGAAGTACAAATGGTACAATTAAATGGAGCTTCAATGGAGGATCCTTACCAAGGCAGGCAGCTGTCACTAATGACAATGCCACGCTTAAGTCAACTCTATATATTTCTCCTGTGTTAAAGTCACATAAAGGATCATATTCTTGTTTTGTTTTTGATGGTGTAAAAAATGGTGTTGGAAATTCTGTCATTGAAGTTATGAGTAAGAAATATTATACTGTACATACTAATGCATTTTATAATATTTTATTACACAAGTATCTTTCCTTTACCAAGTGTGCTTAGTATTGAGTGTTATGCTGCTGATTATTGTAATACTGAAAAGTATATGTAGCAACTTTTGCATGCATCTTTTTTGTTTGCTTCTATCAATTTGATGCTAGTTCTTGTGCTATGCACATAACACAAAGTAATATGCATAAAATAAATTTGATTTTTGGTAGGTGTGTCTACATGCATCTTGCATGGTAAGAGTACATAATACTAAGGAAAGTATTCAACAGCCCTACATGTATGTTGAATGTTATTGTACATCACCGCATATTGTTTATTTTACTGTCAAGGTATGTGTTTTTGATAACCTGTCACTGCAACATGGACTTTTTCCATTTAATAAGTGATTATGAAACTTCTTTTCAAGCATAGATAGTGAAAGATGTCATACTTTGCCACTATGAAGTCTTCCAACTTGCTTACAGCCTCTAAATGAGATTATAAACATCTCTGGGGCAGCCATTTTACATTACATGGTCCATCCTCTTGCACCTATAGTTATTATCATTAGTTGTTATAGAGTGAAATAGTATATTCCGGATTACCAAAGAAGCACACTATACTGATGTAAACAATGTGCGAGGATGTATTAGGCTACTATAGACCCCCTAGGCGCTAAGACTATTTTGAATGAATTATTTATGGTAGCCACCCACAATTAAAATTACTGACGGCATGAAGCTCTCCACATCAAAGGCAGATCAAAGCCAAGGTGCCGAAATGAAACATAGCAAGAAAATCATGTTGCAGCAAGAGTTACCTGGTCTATATGATGTATCTGTCCTCCATACTTCCCATAAATGCTGCTTGTAAGCCTGTAGTACCTTGTAGCGCTCACAAAAATAGCCAGACGGTGTCACCACCTTTGATTTTCTTTTGATCTTGAGGCCTTCTTGGCGTCAGTAATTTTCATCATGGGTGGATACCATATAGGAAAAATTTATTTATTATGAATGAATATTATTATTGTAATCATATTCGTTGAAAATAATCTTAGCTCCTAGGGGGTCTATAGGTGCGGTGCGTTTGATATTCTCTGTAATGTTATGTACTCTTGTGTGTAGTTAGTGTCACTTTTGTCTAAAGACCTACTGCTTATACATGTAGTGTATTACATGCTCTAGCTGTCTATCTAAAGAATTTACTGTATTTTAATATGGATTATGCAATTTTTAGGTCAGACATTGTTTGGGTTAGAGGTATATCCAAGAGAATCTCAAATATCAGTCAACACAAGTCATACCATTGTTTGTAACACTACTGTACCTTCCAACATATCTTGGGAACATAATTATGGACCACTACCTGATAATGTGTTGGTAAATCAGAGTATTTCATTCTCTGTTCTAACAATAATTGATGCAAACAGTGCAATTCATAGTGGACGATATAGTTGTGTTGCTGAAACCATTACAGGATTGTCGTCTACTGATGCCTTAGTTTATGTAATTGGTAAGTGATTAATTTCATAACATGTAAATGCGATGGCATATACATGTATAATGTACCTCAAAACTTTCAAGGTGGAAAACTTCAGCAAAATTTATTGTAGGCCTCAAATGCAAAAAGTTTATTTGCAAAAAATTATAGGGTATGTTGGAGCAGGTGTCAGCTGATGCTGATGCATCTTCAAGTATGCAACTCCTAGCCACATTCTCAGTGCAATAAACCTTGGCTATATACAAATATTTCAAATACAAATATTTCAAATGCAAATATCTCTTTTTTTACTTGTTTGCAAGATTTTACCTTTAAAGTTTTGAGCTCTAGGGCAATAATAAATGTTAGTCAAGTATAAAAGTTATGAATTGCTCTAGTAGGCACTGTTTCATGCTTGCCTTGAAACAAAGAAAGTCAAGGCAATAGTAGAATTGTGCCTATTATGGCAAACATTATATTATGTCCCACATCATCAGTGTCTTTTTCTGCATGTGTCACTAACACACCTGTTTTTCCGCTGTAGTATGTAAATTTATACAAATTGTTGAAAAGTACGTGCATGATATATGAGTTTTTTGGTTAGTTTGTGCATTTTTTGTGGTTAGATAAAAATTTAAATGTAGCTAGTGCTCTTAGAAAATTGGAAGTGTCACAAGCACATCTAATACCGTACGGGTAGAAAATTTCGAAGGTATAAAATTTCGCGTTTTAGTGAAAAGCTCTGAATTTTTTAATTTTGAGGGGGTTAAATTTCGCATTTTTGCACGTGCACTTACATTATTGATTTTCACATACTGCACATGCACAGTGAGCATTTTCATGGTAATAATTTTCATGGTTGAGAAGTCACCCACGAAATCTGTGAAATTAAGTGCCCCACAAAATTCTATGCCCATACGGTATCAGGGCTGTACGATATTACGATATTAAGTAATACCTCAATATTTAAATCATGACGATTTGGTATTCCTGTTTGCATAAACACATTATTGATATAAGTTATTTGATAATATCGAATGCACGCGTTTTTTTTGTTTGCGGCCAACTATAACTTCCTCAATTACCATACAACCATACAGTTGTGGAAGTAAGAGGCACAAAGAAATTGAAACAGTTGTTGCTTTTTTCATCTGTAAAGATGGTTTACCTATCTATTCTGTTGAAAAAACAGGGTTCAAGTTGCTAATGAAGGTAATGGACAGTAGATATGAGCTCCCTAATCGACCACATTGTTTAAAATCTGTTATTCCCAATTTGTGTGCTACCACTTAACAGCAGATGTTGAAGACTTGAAAAAGAAGGACCAAGCTCAATGTGAGTTGAAGAAGGTTAAAAATCGCCGTAGCCATTCTAGAAGTCCCCACTCCAGATCTGAGGAGCGAGCAGGACAACATTCTGGGAAGCAATATTCCCGTGCCAGCATAACTGAAACATACTCGTCGGAGGACGAAGAGGATTTTGAGCAACTTATGAACGTCTCAGAGGAGACTCACTGTCTTCTCACTGACTCTTGCACATGGGGCATGTCAAGTGAGACTAGGAAGCATACCAAAAGTCATTTCAAGCTTCCTAAAGTGGATGCAGCCAGATCCCCAAGATTGGACTCAGTAATGAAAACTGTTACTCCTCAATCTGCACAAAGTGTAGATAAAGAACTAGCCAGACTCCAGACTTTCATCTTGGATGCTCTCGCTCCCCTCACTGCCATCCTAGAAGGTGCTAGTGAGATGACAGTACAAGATATAAGAGAGGCACTAATCACAGCCTCAATCCTGGTTTGCAATGCTAATGCCAAATTAACATGTCTCCAGAGAGAGAAGCTGATATTAGCAATTAATGGTGATCTGACTCCTCTGATACAGGGCGAGTCACAGTTTACAGATTCAAACTCATATTTATATTTCAGAAGGCTCAGTCTCACATATCAATGGTGTTTGGCCTAGTTTTCTAAAATTTCAGTTAGTTTGTAGTATAATTAGAAAGTTTACGGTAATTTACTCCACCTATGGGTGGGGCTCTAACTAGCTATATAAGCCCTGACCCTGTGCAACCACATTGGCCTTTTTTATAACTCCAGAAGTATACCTCGAGGTAACATCTCCACGTCCAAACGCAGTATGGCTACCGGGCTAGAACAGAGTTCACTAATAGCCTCTAATAGTGGTAGTGACAAGCAGAGTACTACTGGTAATAACAAGAAGAAAGCCGACAAGGGCTCTACTGACTCGATCCTCGGTAAGCTAGAGTCGATGGAGAACAGCCTGAATGCACAGATAAAGAAGATATCAGACAGAGTGGGCCAATTGGAGCAAGACTATGTTGAAACTCCCCCTCCGAAGAGATGGACATCAGAATCTTCATCTCACTGGGCTGATGGAAGATCATGGGAACTGGCAGAGGATCTCCAATGGCCTGTCTCAGACGGTGAGGAAGAGCCGCGGTAGTCGAATGGTCAGAATGCGAGCATCACCCTTTCAGAAGAGCTCACTCACATAGTGGCTTCTGCCTTCAAGAAGCCCCTATCTACGGAGGAACATAGACGTCTCAGGAAAGATTTCCCTTGCCCGGGCATCCTAGAGACTAGATGTCCCAGACTGGACCCAATTTTTAAGACTGTCTCCATCCAGAGAGATGTGAAGTCAGGGGATGCAGACCTAGCGCGAGTACAGGCGCTAATGCATGACCCTATTGGTCCATTGATTAGGCTGCTTGGCGCCTTTGATCAAGAGGATCCCAACTTAACTATAGACGAGATACGAGACCTACTATTAGATGCTACTCGTCTTTTGGGAAATGCATCGGCAGGGATGTCCCAACTGCGACGGAAAGAGCTACTAAAGTCCGTAAATCCAGGTATTGTGGACCTGGCCAAAGAAGATATTATTGAAAATGCTGCCCCCTACCTCTTCGGAAGTGACTTTGAGAGGAAGATGAAAGACAGAGCAGAATCAGTAAAGTTGCTGACAGCAACCTCTAGCTCAAGGCCACAGCGCCCTCCAGATAAACAATTCTTCCCAAGGAACCGCAACAATCTACCCCCAAGAGGTAGTGGCCAAGCCAACAGAGGATGGCAATGGCCAAGGAAAGAACAGAAACCTATTCCACGAAGCTAACTCAATTTATGAGACAGAGACTCTCGCATTGAAATGTACTATTGCATAATTTGCATTGTAAAATAATATATATTATTAATAGTAATTACTGTTAACCTTTGTTCAAAGGAGAGCTATTCTCTTTATGGAAAAGGAAAGAAACTATAGTTATACAATTAGTGTCACTAGAATTCAGTCCTAGTGTTGGGGACAGAGAGCCATGGAGTTTTTGTTGTCTGCTGTGGTGCATGTGTTTCCACCATTCAGCCTCCTACTGTGCTTCCGGGGCCTTTACCAAGGCCCTAAAGCCAGTACTACCCTGCTCAGATAGTTAGGAATGAGGCTAATGGCATGGGTAACAATGATGCGTGCCCTTGTAACCTAATAGTCTATGGCTTAGACATAATGAGCATCATTGGCAAGAGCTCTCGTATATCAATGCCCACACCCTGACCTGCACTGGTCCAGTGTATCCATGGCTTAGCTGGTCAAGCTGAACCTATACAGTGCCCACATTTATCTAAATGTATACTCAACTGTCTATGATTTTAAATTCATACTCTACCTATCTATGAAGTCTGATAACCCAGTTGTGGAAGCAAGAATCTGGTCCTAACTAAAAGCCACAACCAGAGTGCCAACCTACATGTGTGGGATACACCCAAATCAATTGCTTCCACAGACCATGGGAAACCAGAGTTTTTGCTTTGCCTTGCCTTATGTTTGAGGCAATGGACCGACGGCAAACTGGGCCTTTACCATACGGGAGTGATAGAACTAGAAACAGAATTTTTTGTGTGTCTCATCAAACCAAACTAAGAACATACCTTGTTCTAGAGGATCTCAAATGGCAGCAAAGATTCATAGCTTGCACTTATTTAATTGCAAAGGCTCAGCCACTCCCCTATCGAGGCTCGAAGGGTGGAGCCAATTAGATAATCTGTGTCATAAATTAGCAAATTTTAGTATTAGCTATATATAATAGCTAGCCAAGCTGACATTTTTATGACCCGCAGGCCCAGGCTATGGTGTCAGGAGCTCAGCTTGAACAGAGGATAGAATTTTTCCCCCAGCAAGATGACCTACATTAGATGGCTGCAGACCATCTTATGTTACCACGAAGACGGAGGACCTCGAAGTTACTCCCTGCACGAGTAAGGAGTGGGTCAACTGATTGAACTGATGCAAGGGGAAGCAGTCAGATCCAGAACCTGCTAGAGGATGGGATCATCTTGCCAGTCCACATGAGATGATGGCATGATGCCTACAGATCGGTTACTGCACCCATACATACCCCCAGTGATAGGTCCTTTGTTCAGTGGTCAACACTGTTTGATCAGCAGTTCACCTAAGAGATTGTGCTCTCCCTTAACAGGATACAAGATTCTTGTTACCAAATCTAGGATGAGTATAATTTCAAGGACTGGAATGTGGGTGTGGTACTACACTATAATAGTCACTAACCAGCACCAGGCAAACAGCCCAAACCAGAGCTTATCATGCCTGAGAATTATCCCGGGGAGTAGTAAAGGTCACTGGCATTGGCACACTCAGCTTGCTCAGCTGGCTTTCGAAATGAAGGTTGAGTGGTACAGGAATACTCATCAGTGAGGGTACTGTATATGGCAAAGCAACCTAGACCCAATAGAAGTAGGAAATGATAAGCCCTTCTCCAAAGCTCACTCAGCTGTGTACGGGCAGTACCCCTTACATTGCAGAAACAATCATGTAATTGTAATGTTTTAATCTCATTCATCGATCCGCATCAACCAGTAACTTACCCACCATGGCTATGGGGTACTGGTTGGGTCAGGGCCCAACTGCATTGTAGTTTAAAGAATCTCAGTAGGAGATATCTTAAGGGTAACAGACTCAAACACAGAATTCACCTGCCAATAATTTCGCTATAGGCCCGTACAA